GTCCTATCTCTCATAGCCGACTCTAATGCAGTCCCTGCGAGACCAGTGTCTCTCTCTAACATTGACAAAAGTGTAGTAAATGGTCGTCCCACTCTACGTCTCACAGCGGAAAGCCACTGTACTAGTCTACCAGCTGGTTCGTTTCTACGAACAACATGCCCTGCCAGGGCGAGCCTACGTCCTGTAACAAAATATCGTAACTTTAACATGACATGTGCATTGATATTGAAACCTGTCAGTGATGAGCTATTGATTTGTACCAACAGACAGTTATGCATGTAACTTGCTTCTAATTTCATAATCTAATTATGTCTCATAATGCACTAAGAATGGATGATTTAAAAACAAAAACATATTCTGGTAAATAAATGCTAGGCAAAGGAGATTCAAGCAGAACTTTAGTCAAACTGTTAACGGGGGATAGGCTAAGGGGTTTTAGACTCTTGATTTGGATTCTTGTTTTGGTCTACTAGAATTTGTACACTAACTAGAAAAGACAAAACAAAGCTGGATAGGAATGGATTTTGATTTATAGCGTTACCTCAGGTTTGGATCTCAAACATTACTTACCCTCACAGCCAAATTAAATTCCATTAAGCAAACCGGACCAGGTATGAATATGTAGAATCAGTAGAGTGATACGTGACAGTAGCAACCAGTCCAATGGAGGAAATATTACATTCTTGAAGCAGTTTTATGGAAAGATCTTCAAATTCTATAAGAATGAACCAATGAGCTGTGGCTGTCAGACCTTGCGACCGAGCAAAAAAACAAAATGACGTCACGTTGAAGTCGAGGGCGTGAACACGCAGGAACTTGACGTGTTGACATCAACTCTTTAATTATCTGTCATCAAACCCAGAACTCACAATAATTACGAACAGAACATTAAAAAGGTAAAGAAGCATGCGGTGATCCAGTGAATGGCGATCTCGCCTACGTACGAAAAATTCAGTCCGGAACTAGAAAATCCCGGTCTATACCGGTTGGATCCAGCAGGTTGGAGGAAGTTATGCCTCAAGACACCAATTCACTTCTGGACACTTCAAGACAGTGCTGTATACGCCTTGGTCAGCGATGGTAAATCTCACAACGCAGCTTCCTATCTAGTCTAAATATCGAAGCATGCACGTGGAATGCTACACGCATGTTTATACTACATTGTAAACGGTCTATACTCAAGGGATAGTACTCTCTCATATATAGACAACTACTAGACTGAACGGCTCTCAGTATCTAATAATTCAACAAACAAGTTTCACCACATCTCGCCTGTTTCTGCACACCGATGATGTTCGATAACATTATACAAGCTTCCAGTTGAAAGAACAGTCGGTATCGAACACGAGAAATGACATGAATCTTAAGCAAACTGTCGAAAACAAACACACTGAATGTTGAAAATGTCTCATCAATGGAATGCTACACGATACGAGCTGGACCGTTATCGAATGACGTTTCTTTCTGTTCAGATATGATATGTATCCTAAGTGCATATGTTATTTTGTGATGACCCTGAACATTGTATAGGACCACATGGAGAAAACCTGACGCGTCAAGATACTTGATGATCGAAATAAAGTCCTCGGATAAAAAGTACGCCAGGAAACGGAGGAAGAAAAACATGAACGTTCATCTACAAGGCCTGTTACTTACTTCAGTCTCCAGACAAATGTTATACCAAGGCTCTGACATGTCACAATTCAAGGTCTTTGTTACACCTGATTTTATTCAGCCACCATTTTTTCAGTTACCTTATCGAAATAACACTATAAGTCCCAAATCTCCATTGAACTCCGTCGCTCTGGTACATATATGTTGTGTTGACTAATAAATGTACTACATGCACTTAAAAATACTACAGTGCACTTTGTATGGGAATCGAGTCCCTTATAATATAACAAGTATATCTTCAACATTGTAATTATTTCCCGTTCTTATGAAAAGGTCCTACTTTATTGACTTGATTGCCCAAAGCTTCGATCACTTTCACTTTGTGTATGTGATATAATAAAAGACATCAGGCATTTTGTCTAATCAATGTACATGTAATTTGAAGCACGTGTTTGAGAAAAAATGCAATAATACAGAACTTTAGGACTGGCATTGTATCAAATGTAAGTTTGTTTTAAGTATTCACGGTGGTAAAATCTGGGTTGCAAAGTTCCCACATTTCATAGAATCCGAACTGTGTTCGATGGTGTTCGATCTGGGCGATTCGAATCGAACCCGCGTTCCATTTCGGGGTCACCTGCGGTCATTTGCAATAAAGCGGCAAAACAAGCCCTTTTGCCTGAGTGACTCGTAATAGATAAAAAAACAACACTTTTCTATAGATACAAACAGTTTCCAGGATAGTACATGTCCGCTATCATTTTTTTGTGGACATGTAACATGTAGCGAAGCTACTGTCGTATCCTTGGGTGACCTTGAATACTGTAATGATTCTTTACACCTGTATGAAAAAAACAATGCACACTTTTGGGAGATATGGCATGTTTGCAAAACTCGTTCAAACCTGGAAACATGGAGAGTCTAACATACCCCATTTACGGCTCAAAATGACTGTCAGGGTTGTCCCGAAAATCGTGCTTTTGGAATTTTTGAAAAATGCGCTTGATTTTGAATTATGGGTAATTTAGTGCGAAAAAAAGCCAAAAAATTCGATTTTTTTCACCTATTTGTCGACAAAAACTATACTTAAAGTCAGAAATTAAAAAATCCCTAAAGCACGATTTTTCATCTTATTCCTAGTCGTCGAAAAATATAAAAATCAGTGATCTTGCGTAATATGTGTAGCCAGGTTTGCTCAGTGATTGACTAAAATATGGCGGTCCGAAATCCCGAAAATTATCGACTTTTTTTAACGAAATCCGAAAAAATCATCAATTTAGCGCAAAAAATCACCATTAAATGTATGTAAAGACGATAATTTTATTTTATTTCAATGAAATTTCCCCTCGATACTAGTTTGTTTATTTTCAAATGTTTTACGGTTAGCCCAAAATTGCGTCTTGTAACCCGATACTTTATCGAACGCACACAGCAATGGGAAAGAATGCCGTAGTGACAGACCGCCGTGATTTAGCGATTGTTATAGTTGGATGCTTTTAATATCATATTCATTCATTTTTACAATACTCTTATTAAAGTTGGTCATTCTTATATACCATTTTTAAAACTCATTTGTAATGCAGGGTATTGTATCATAACTGTGATATCTGGAAATAAGGTGATTGATTATTGAAATCACCAAATAAATAGAATATACTAAATGTAAAATCGATTAATGCTCGCCGTTATTATGTACAGAAATACTGAATTGATTTTCATGATTAAAACAATCATAACAGACAATATGTTGAGGACTTGAATTTATGGCCTTCAATGCTTGTACAGTCATTTACATATTATACAGATAGGATTATTGCAAATTCCTGCCCGAAGGCTAGCGCTAATTGCAATAAAACAATTTAAATTAAATCAATTAAATTAAGGTTGAACATTGAAACACAAAATAACTTCAAAATCTACGTAATAAAAGGCATATATATAGCTATGACTAAAATCACGTCAGAAGGGTTTGACTTCTCTATTTGGTCACACCAAGTAAATTTTATGGATGACGTCCTTTGGAGACCCTAAATCTAATGCGAGAGGGCGAAAAAAAAACAAGAAGGGCCCTAAAAAACAAGATGCCTAGATTAGAAAGAGACGGCAAATGTTAGGACACAAATTGAATGAGGTGACACAGTGTAACAAACAAGAAGTCTTTTATTCATCATCAAAACAGCAATAAATCAGGTGGAACAGTGGACAGTGAAAAATTTTCTGTCAGGATGGTCCTGTCAATAGTGCAAATTTTCTGTTATTGACAGGATGGTCCGATCCTGTCAATAGTGCAAATTTTCTGTTATTGACAGGATGGTCCTGTCAATAGACACTTTCTTCGCGTTACGGGTTTCACATCAATCTGGTGATTTGCGGCACTGTCGTGACTCTTTGGTCATAGTTACAGGAAGCGGAATTTCTCAGTTTTTTTTTCTAGGAACAGGCCAAAATCAATGCGCGCGTGGACGTCGTCCATAAAATTTACTTGGTGTGGCCTTTTATATAATCCATAGTTTCCTGAGTTTTGGTGCTAAAGCACAAACATAACAATAGACACATTCCTGTAGAATTCCGACAATTCTTGCAGACTTCAGACACTAATATTAGGTTTTCCCCTGAGACGTCACCAAAAAAGACGTCGAACCATGCATACTCAGCTCAGGTTTGTTTCTCAATTATGTTATTTCTTAATAAAAGGCACCCAATGCAATTTCAGGGAGAAAAACTGAAACATCGATTATGAATAAGGCTGTATGATATTGACACATCGTGACTGCCCCACATTAGCACATTTGCATCAGTATGCCATACTTTCAGCGTTTAAACCAGCAAACAAATTTTTTTTTCAATTACAATATTTGAATTTTTGGTGAAAAAAAATGCTACATAACGCCCTTTAATTAATTTGTATTTGCAGTAAAGGCTAGCTATTCATATTCGTATTCAGTAAAAAGCGACATCTCGTCGACTCAGCTATGTCCACTTGTCCATTGTCCACTCACCGGCCCAGTCACAGGTATTGCGCAATGCAGGTGCTTTTTTGGCGCCCACGTGCAGTACTAGGGCGCGGCACGTGGGGCTATTGACGTCATTTCCGTTCAAGACGAGCCGTGATGTTGAAATCAGGAACCCCCGAACATTATACCGGATATTTCGCAATCGAAAGTGTCCTTCGTTAAATCCCTCCGCGTTGCCAGAAAATCTCAAAAAGGCATTAAAATTACCAAAATCAAGCAAAATATCTATCTTGGTGATTGAGATATATTTGAAGTGTACGAATGAATCTTTTCTCATTTTTTCTGTGGGAAATTGATACAGAAAAACGTTACTCAAATTGCGAACTACTTTTTGTTAGCGGGCTTGCCGTTCTATGTAGGTGCGTGCTCAAGCCGGCTCGCTCACTCTGCACTGAGTACCAAGTGACTTCGGTAACATGTCCGACTACGCTCAGACTGAACAAGGGTAAGTTTCATCTTAAATATTGTTTACAAACACGGTAGAGTATCAGAAATAATCAGAGGGAGGTTTGAAGAATCTAATTTCTTGGGTGAGACGTTTTACTCAGTGCCAAATTTGGCAGAACGCGACATTTTTTGAAGGGGATCGACCGAATGTGGAATCCAAGATGGCCGCTTTCGTGAGCACGTGTGATTTTGCCGGTATCGCCGGTGCCTTAGATGGAATTATATTAGCTCCACACCACCCTCATTTGATAGCGAATAAGATCAGTGTAGATTTATTTCGTTTCTCCGTGAATACGATGTGAGGAGGGGGTTGTATTTTTAGCCAAGACGCTAGCGGTGATTACGACATACCCTTTGCTTGATACGTCATGCCAATTTTTTTGGCGCAATGCCGGCAAAAAGTGCGCTAGGAAGTAAGGCCTGCTGTAACTTTCAAATTTCGACTTTCTCAGTCCTTTTAGTCATGTGTAGAGTTGTATATTGATATGTTTCGTGAAAAAAGTTGGCCAGTTCGTTCGTGAAAGTCCACCGATTGATATGAATCATTTGCGGAAGCGAGTAAAGTCATCATGGACACAAAGAGTCACTCCTAAATGAATGAATGAATGGACCTTAACAACATATTGTTTGTCCACGTTTTTGGGTGTCGCCAGTAACATAGAAAAAGTCCGTTCCAGAAAATTCCTGGTTCAAAGCAACGTTGAACAAGTACCTTACTTGAGAGCAGGTTTTTGTCCATTTTAGCGGTCCTCTCGCTTTGTTGGAACATCTGTGTTGAATATTCATGTGGTAATTACATAAATGAGAGCACATTTCGCAATGTTGTCCCAACAGCAGTTATGGAGGGTAAATTATGCAAGACCCTCATCAACTTTCCGATTTCTTTCACTAGATAGAGGGTAATACAAGCAGTCAGTGTGAACAGTTGGTTTGAAGCCATTTAAAAATTGTACTAAGTTGTAAGGTTTCTGCTATTGTGGCTTCCAATTGTCATTATATTGACTAATTTGTCACCTTTTATTGGGCCAATAATGGTATCCTGTTAGAATGTTGGTAACAGATAAAAAAATGTCTATCTAAATTTATTTATTATTTGGTATAACCTGTCCCAGAAACTGTGGCAATGACCTGATATTTCTACATGTCCAAACTACAAATGACTTTAGTAAAAAAAAGAGTTCCATGTTTAGGGCCACAGCTGTAGCATGTTCAATTTTTATTCAAATTTGTCGCAATGTTGCCTTTTAGTCCTTGAAGAATTTTTAAAACAGGAGTTATCCATGGTTTTTTGTTATCTGCACTAAATCCCTAACTAAGGATTAGAAAATGTCACTATGAAAAGCAATTATTTATCGAAACTCAAAGATCAAATTTATGTCGGGCAACCAGAAACTGTTTAGTAGCCGGTACTGAGGGGAAAGTCATGTACATGTATAGATATTGAAGTTGGTTCAATATAATTATATGCCTACGGCTTTCTTTTAATGACAAGGTCACATATGGGCTACTCTGTTCATGGGACAAGCAAAATCTGAAACTTGCCCTTTCATTTGTTGCAGTAGTTTTTAAGTATTAAACAATTCCTCTTTCCATATAGATTTGTTTTAGAAAAGGAAGGTTCTAATTAACAAAACGCAAGTTAATTAGGGGCACACAGGCGGTGTGGAATCTTTTGTTCTCAGTATATTTTGCATAATTGTCAAAGGAGAATTATTCCATGTGTAATCAGTGACATTTGTTATGCATTTAGGTCTGAAGGCAGACCTACAGATGCATTTAGGTCGACAGATATTGACTCAGAAGTTCAACATGAGGAACTCCATGCCAAAAGGTTGTGAAAAATATCAATCATTTCCCCCAATCCCTTATCAGTTTTAAGATGATGTTCTATACAACATGATATTTTCCAACAAACTGAGGAAAACATCAAGATTTGCATGCTACACAGTGAAGATGCGTGCACTACTATCCCACCAGACTTCAAACACACAAAACCACTTCCTGTAGCATTCCTCAGTTGTGACATCGTCTGGTTGCTTGGGCATGTGTCTGCTAGTCAAATTAGTGGTGTTACACGGTCAACTGGATTTGCATGGTGCAAGAATGGTAAAACTCTGGTGTTGTCCTTCCTTTCTGCAAAACTACACATGTATTCAATCTAGTTGTTATCTAGTAGACAGTGGTATGGAATGCATTGCCATATGTTTACCATATTCATGATTTGAGATCTTGCTTCCTTCCTTTTTGGCACTAATTACAAGGTTTTGTTGTCTCAGACTTATGCTCTGTGCCTTTTCATTTTTGGCAGCGAAGTTGGATGGTTTACAATAATGGTTAAAGGCAAGGTTATGCAACAACAATTGTCGTATATGATGTCTTCTGATGTCCAAGTTATGTGCAAATTATTACAATGAAGTAATGGGATTACAAGCACCTGTTTCAGGTGATTTCATCTCATCAAACGGTTGCTAGTTTTGAAACATAGATGAGGAGAAAACTTAATGATCTATATGTGTGATCCAGCATGGACAGATGGAATGCTGTTGAAGTATTTATTCAAAGGAAGCCTTGAGGCCATGTATATTAAATAGCACATACAGGGAACCTCACTAGGTTTGTCCTTGCCGTAGGGTTGGCTGGGGCCCCCAAGATCTGGGGCCTAGGGAGCGAAGAGATCTCAGTCCACGGGATCTTCGCGATCTTGGGCCCAGGGACTATGAGCCCCGCGATCTAGGGCCTGAAGAACGCAGAGATCTGGATCCTAGAGAAGGCCGGGATCTTAGTCCCAGGGGACCGCGTGATCTCGGCCCTCCTGGCGACTACGAACCTCGCAATCTCGGGCCGCGGGAGTATGAAGACGAGGAAGACGAGTATTACCGCAGATCGAGAAGGTTCTGTGTGAACTCTCGCTTGTTGGCATGACAACAACAACCTGCCATAATTTTGGTTTTTTTGCTCCATCTCCGCATGGTGTGTCCACTGTGTTTTCGACACTCACTGTCCTGCCTGCCATACCAGGCAGGGGGAGCTTTTCTAACACGTTTTTTTTTTTACTTCGCTTCACTAGAGTAGCTTGTGGTGCCGCTTTGAAATGGCCAGAAATAGATTGAACACAAGTCAACATTTTTCTAAACAGTTTGCTTTCTCAATTTTATGGAGTTTAATTGAATTTTAAGAAGCAGTGTAGTGAATGATAACATTTTGGTTAAACATCTCAAGATAAATTCCACTTGGCATTGTCTTGTCTTTTTTTAAGTGAAATTTGTTACAATAAGTCCAGTGAATGGTCATGTTTGAAGAAGCTACTGACTCACTTGGCCTGTGGTGTGGTGACCTAACCTTTGACCTTACATACCATAGACAGAGGGTGCAAGTTCTATTTCTGTGCACAGCACTGTGGCATAGTTGTTCTCCCGAGCTCCTGACATTCTAAAGGAAAAAAAGGGCCAGTTGTTTTATTAAGTTGCCCATCACTGCTACAGCTAGAAGAAGATAACGGTGATATCACATAACAGTTGATTAATAACTTTCACCTGAATGCGTATGGATTAGTACTTAATTAAAAAGCAGATTTATCTGGAGTCGCAAGATCAGAAGCATGACTGCAGTCCATTGGAGGGTAACCAAGGCGTATTTCTGATACCAACATGAAGTGGTAGTCCCCTGGTAACCCCCTGTGTAGCCTTGTTGTGACCAGCTGGTGTGGTGTTTGTTGCAGGCCCGATGACCAGTCATGGGGACCTTCAGACCAGAATGGACCAGACGGAGGAGAGACGATGCACCAACATGCCCACCATTCAGACGACGGGCCTGCTGGTATGGACCCCGAGGGACTCATTGAGGTAAGAACCTCGCAAATCTCAAACTACTGCAAAGTTGTGCCTCTCAATTTCATGTAGAAGCACAACTTGGTACCAGTTTGAATTGGCATTTGAAACAGTTGTGAACTGCAGTAGTACTAGTATTACGAGCAGTATTTCTTTACAATTTGCAGTGGTTAGGTAACCATGAAAATAGAACCCTTGCAAAATAATTTCACTGTAGGTCGTTAAAGAGGGTTTTGTGATGGTTTTAGTTCATGTTTGAAACACATGGAAACACAACTTGGTGTCGTCACTTTCCCTCCATAGGTCACTGTGAAAATAAAGCCACCACAAACATATCAAGGCTTAAAGCATTTGATATCAAACATGAACTTTCTAAATACCACAGTACTATATAGCTATTGTTTGAATAGGTGCCCTTTCAGTTGTGTTCCTCTCCTCAGAATGGTGACAAGCTCTTTGTTTCTTTTCCAGACCAACTGGGACCAGGTAGTTGACAATTTCGATGACATGGGCCTTCGTGAGGACCTACTAAGAGGCATCTACGCCTACGGCTTTGAGAAGCCCTCTGCTATCCAGCAGAGAGCCATTTTGCCTTGCTGCCAAGGTGGGTAACAGAAGCACATTGGCAGAACATACTGCCTGCACATAACCAGTAATGTATTGTGCATAGCACTTTGTCAGAATGTCTCATTTCAGGACGTATTCACACGTTTAAAGATATCATCCTGTCTTTAGTTTTCAAATGATGTGTCGGAATAGATGTGGTCTGCAACAGGCGAATTTCTGATGCAATGTTGACCAAACATCCAATAAAATCCGTGAAAAATTCCAATTTTGGTAAGTTCTGCTGACATTCTAGTAACTGTCAGTTCTGTAGAAATAGCCTTTTTTCTTTTAATAGAAAACTGGAACCATGTTTCAGAAGTGCTGACTGTTCTACTGTTCCAGGTCGCGATGTGATCGCGCAGGCCCAGTCCGGTACAGGAAAGACGGCCACGTTTGCTGTTGCCATCCTCCAACAGCTGGCCATCAAGGCAGGAAACACGGATAGAAACCCTCAGTGCCAGGCCCTGGTCCTGGCACCCACTCGTGAGCTGGCACAACAGGTACATACACAACCCTGCTGCGTTCATGCATTTTGTATAGGGCTTCAAATACAGTCAAACTTGCCCAAGTGATCACCTCTATAAGCTGGTTATAATGACCACTTTTTCTTGGCCCTGGGTTTTCCCCCACAGACATAAGCATCAGGGCTCGAAATACTTGGTTCATGTGCACCTTAGTGCACCCTGTGCACCTGATTTTTTTCTGTGCCTAATATTTTTGTAGGTATTTTTGTACATATCAAATAATAGTATGCAGGATATTCTTGGCATCTAAGCGTCAGAAAAATAATAAAATCTTTGTTTTAGTTCTTGTGTGAGATTTTGAAGTTAGCTCCCATTTCAGATACAAGCTTAGAAGAGGAGCATTAAGATCTGTAATTATGTTTTGTTTTAAATGGTGCACCCAAAAAAATTTTTGTGCAGCTAATTTTTTAGGTTGGGTGCACCAGTGCACCTATTCCCAAAAATGAATTTCGAGCCCTGAGTGTTAAAGAATGTTCCTAGCAGACCACTTGTCCAAAGGGACCACAACCGGGACTGCACATGGCCCAATCTCTGTCTTTAACAACATCATTTTCAAGCATGTAGCAGAAAACAATTTTTTATGATGACTCTTGATAGAATCGGCCAGGTTGCCATTGATTTGGACAGCATGCAGGTCTTTTGTAAAATGATGTTGGCTGAGTCACTTTGGGTCAATGGGGCATTTGTTGACAAATGTTGCTATGCTTTTTCTCGGTCTCCTATATGGTCATCTTAGACACGTTTGTAAATGATTTTCTTTGTCCACAGATCCAGAAGGTAGTCCTGGCTCTGGGTGACTACATGAACGCCCGCTGCCACGCCTGTATCGGAGGCACCAACGTGCGCGCCGACATGCAAACCCTGACGGAGGGTGTCCATATCGTGGTGGGCACGCCCGGCCGCGTCAACGACATGATCACCAGGAGATCTCTCGGTAAATCAGCTACGTCATTTTTTTTAAATCTTTGTGGCAGTTTTTTTGTGATGTCTCACTGCTCTCATGGTTGCAGTGCAGGTGAAATTGACAGTTGATTGACAAGGAGGTTGTGCCTGAAGGTGACCCAACATGTAGTAGTGGGTGGTATGTGGAGGAATTTAGGATGAGGCGATACCCGATTGAATTACATCATACCACCCCCTCCACTTTTAACCCATAACGCGAACAATTCCACTTACATACTCTACATTGCTACAACTGCAAACACGTTTTCCATCCAGGGACAAAATAAGTCCTTCAAATTTGAAATGTCTGAAATAATTCAGTCCTGTAGTAAATTCTGAGCTGTTTGCAGCATGTGTTGTGTGAGGCAAAATTTCAACCTTCCTAAAAGCACCCCACTGAAGCATCCCTTGACAGTGGCGGCCGTCAACGGAAGGAAAGAACTGCATGGCCGTGGGTGAGGGGGGGTCAGGCTGCGGCCACACTGGCCTACTCCTCAATAGGTGGTGCTACAGCCTTTCTGTCTTTGTTCAAGAGGAGTTACATGAACAGGGCTCGAAATTCATTTTTAGGAATAGGTGCACTGGTGCACTCCACCTAAAAAATTAGGTGCACAATTTTTTTTGGGTGCACCATATAAAACAAAACATAATTACAGATCTTAATGCTCCTCTTCTAAGCTTGAATCTGAAATGGGAGCTAACTTCAAAATCTTACACAAGAACTACAACAAAGATTTTTATTATTTTTCTGGCGCTTAGATACCGAGAATATCCTGCATACTATTATTTGATATGTACAAAAATACCTACAAATATATTTGGGTGCACCAGTGCACCCACAGAAAAGAATTGGGTGCACAGCTCCAATTTTGGGTGTACTAAGGTGCACATGCACCCAGTATTTGGAGCCCTGATGAACTTACTTCCTAAGACTTGTTAGGTAACTGGTGTGATGTCCATTCCTACAGACACCTCTTCGGTGAAGCTGTTTGTGCTGGATGAGGCTGATGAGATGCTGTCTCGTGGTTTTAAGGACCAGATCTATGACATCTTCAAATACCTGCCTGCTGACATTCAGGTGAGAACGGCCAGACAGATCACATAGTGCATTCTGGCAACTGCAGATCTTGTTATTTCATGATATTAGAATTGTACAGTTCTACGGTACCAAGATGTATGTGGTAGAAACAAGGTGGTCATGTGGTTAGGATTACTGAATTGAAATCTGGCGGTTCTGGGTTTAAATCCCTGCCGGCCGTTGTGAAAATTCACACCTATTTATTATTAGAAATAAGCACCTACATGTAGCTTGGGCAAGGGACGTCCTGGATGGGATGTAAAGCCAGACTTAAAGTCGAGCTGCACCTTTCCACGTTTTTCTTTTGGGGAAGAACTTTGAGACATTTCAGAAGTCTTTTTGAAAATTTGATTTGATTTGAGAATGATGCTACAACAGAGGGAAAATGTAACGTTTGTCTCAAAGGGTTATTACTTCAGACATGTTTTTACGAGAATACCAGGCCCCCTTCTGTGGTCTTGGGACCCAATGCGTCAAGAACCCCAGGAAGAGAACCCTGGGGGTTTACCAGTTCTGCCAAACAAACTGAACAGTATTGTGTGTTTGGTTGTACCAGGTGATCCTCCTGTCGGCCACCATGCCCAGTGACGTTCTGGAGGTCACCACCAAGTTCATGCGTAACCCCATCCGCATCCTGGTCAAGAAGGAGGAACTCACCCTGGAGGGTATCAAGCAGTTTTACATCAATGTGGAACGTGAGGTGAGTGTCCAAAAGTGCTGTCCAGCTATACACTGACTGTTGAGATTGAAAGGAGCATAGTTTTGGATGCTTTCTTCATTGGTATTAATAGCCTTTTGGTGTAGTGATTTTTTTCTTGTATTTTAAATTTGTCAGCTATCAGATGCTTTCTATATCAAAAAGAGAACCTATAGAAAACCTTCCTAAAAGCACCCCACTGAAGCATCCCTTGACAGTGGCGGCCGTCAACGGAAGGAGAGAACTGCATGGCCGTGGGTGAGGGGGGGTCAGGCTGCGGCCACACTGGCCTACTCCTCAATAGGTGGTGCTACAATCAGTCTGTTAGTCTTTTTACTGAACTCCTCCAAACAATATGTTTGGGGACAGAAGTTCTATACTATTTTTAAATTTAGCAAGGCTTGAAGAAAACACCTGTTTATGCAGATTTGTGAGTTGGGGTGTAGCTGTGCAGGGATTTGTGACGTCTACCTGCATCTAACCTGCACTGGTCCATGACAAAACCAACTCCAGAGACATATACCAGCAGTGGTCAAAAGCTGCCTTTCATTCTTCAAAGTAACATCATTGAAGATAGAGAACTTACTGAAGTTAAATAGTGCAACAAGGAACATTTTTCTCCAATATTTTCAGTTTTCTGATAAACTAAAAGTCAAAGAAACTGTAGTC